CAGGGTCACTATGAGTCGGAACCGACTCCACGGCACACAACAACAACAGGTTGAATAAGTATGGTGAAAGAATACAACCCTGTCGCACACCTTTCTTAATTTGAAACCATTCAGTGTTCCCATGCTCTGTTCAAACAACTGCCTCTTGGTCCAACTACAAATTTCTCATGAGCACAATTAAGTGTTCAGGAATACTGATACTTTACAATGTTGTCCATAGCTTGTCATGATCCACACATTCGAAAGTCTTTCCATAGTCAATAAATCATAGGTAAACATCCTTCTGGTATTCTCTGCTTTCAGCCAAGATCCATCAGACATCAGCAATGATATACCTCATTCCATGACCTCTTTTGAATCCGGTTTGAACCTCTGAAAGTTTTCTGTCAATGTATGTTTGTAGCTGTTCCTCTATTACTTTTAGTAAAACTTTACTCACGGGATATCAAAGATATTGTCTGATGATTTCCACGTTCTGTTGGGTCACCTCTCTTTAGAACAGGAACAAATACAGATCTCTTCCAATCAGTTGGCCAGAAAGTTGTCTTCCAAATTTCCAGGCAGAGATGAGTGAGTGCCTCCTGTGCCGCCTCACTTTCATGAAATTTTTCAATTTTTATTCCATGAATTCTGGTGCCTTGTTCTTTGCCAATTTCTTCAATGCACTTTGGACTTCTTCCCTCAGTATTATTGGCTCTTGATCACATACTACCTCTTAAAATGGTTGAACATTAACCATTTATTTTTGGTCCAGTGACTCTGTATATTCCCTCCATCTTCTTTTGATGCATTCTGCATCATTCAGTAATTTGCCCAGAGAATCCTTCAATAACGAAAGTCGAGGCTCGATTTTTTTCTTCAGTTCCCCCAGCTTGAGAAATGCTGAGCATGTTCTTCCTTTTTGGTTTTCTGACTCAAGATCTTTGCACATTTCATGGTAATATTTGGCTTTATCTTCTCAAACTGATCTTGGAAATTTTCTGTTCAGCTCTTGCACTTCTTCATTTCTTCCATTTGCTTTAGCATCTCTACACTGGAGGGCAAGTTTCAGTGTCTCTTCTGACATCCATTTTGACCTTTTCCTTTTTTCTTATCTTCTTAACAACATTTTGCTTTCTACCTGTATGATGTTCTTGATGTCATCCAACAACTCTTCTGGTCTTCGGTATTTAGTGTTTAATGTATCAAATCTGTTCTTCAGATTGTATCAAATCTGATCTCTAAATTCAGGTGGGATATATTCAAGGTCATAGTTTGGCTTTCATGGACTTGTTTTCATTTTCTTCAGCTTCAGTTTGTATTTGCTTGTGAGCAATTGATGGTCTGTTCCACAATCTGCCCCTGGCCTTGTTTTGAATGATGATATGGAGCTTTTCCATTTTCTCGTTCTGCAGATGTAGCCAATTTGATTTCTATGTATTCCATCTGTCTTGCCTTTGTAGCCCCTTCCCACACACCATTTTGGGTAGCCATTGTCTAAGTTGCTTATCCCTGTCAACCCTTTGTACTGAAGGGATAGGAATGATCCTCACTGTAAAGATGTGTTCCCTCTTTTGAGCTACTACATGCATATAGGTAAAGTTCATCAAATTGTATCAGGTTACTCTTTTTTTCCCTCTTCTTTCTTATTCTATTTGAGTTCTGATCATCCAGCCATTGAAGCCAGGTCAAGTGGGTACTATCTGCAAGTATGGGGGTTCTTGTGCATCTTCCCTCACATCGTATCAGCTGGATGCTTCACTCTTCGCTTTAGTCCTTTGTGGCCATGTCATTGCCTCTGGGCTCAGGAGTCCCCGGGTCTTGCCATACTGCTGGCCAACCAGGTCTCCACCCAGGTTCACAGGAGTCGGTTGAATATGGTTGGACTTAGCTCACAGCTTCATTGTTGTCTTTCCACTTCCCCTTATCAGTGACCAATATGGCCACCAGCCAAACCACATGCCTGCTCGTGTATTCCCCTTAAGTCTTGGTATTGGAAGGGGGTTTGCTCTGAGGGGACCCGACTGCTTGCCTTGATGGCTCCTGGGCAAATAGGTTGCTTGTTCTGGTAGTAGTCAATCAGACTGCCATTATTGTTTTTTATTTTTCCTGCTGGTCTTTCTTTCATGAAGTATCTTCTATTCTTCTAGACACTCCAGGATAGTCTACTCATCCTTTCCAATGGAAGTTTCCCACCTCAGACAATTCTGGATGGGTTTCAGGATTCCACCTATGGTCTTATGCAATGCAAAGGCTCCAAAGCAAGCCTCTTTCCCTGGGCAACTTCTAGTCCTCTTTAAGGTATTCCAATCAGCTATAGGCTGAAGACGGACTTACAAGCTTTCCGTTGTGATGTTTCTGGCTATTCCTTTCTCTCCCCCTCAAGTGTCTATTTTACAATGGTAGGCAAGGGAAACCAAGATTCAAAAGACAGTCAAGCATCTTAGCATTATTCCCCTCTTTTACCCATTCAAACCATGCTTCAATCCCTGTATCCCAGAGCCCTGTTGTTCCAAAGTTGTGCACACAGCATCATTTACCTCTGTCCTTCTTACATGTTTGAGTTTTTTCTCACATAAAACCAAATTCTCCCTTGATTCTCTGTAGCCCACTTCACTTTCTTTTCTTTTTTTCCCCATTTACAACAGGATTCCTTGACAAATGTTTTCCACTTCCATTCTCTCTTCTAGTTCACTTTCCTTATTAATTCTGCTTAAAACTGCTCTGGTTACATGTCAAAGCCAAGAGTCTCAGGCAGTCATCCCACTGAAGTCTGGCATCTGGTACCGCTGACTTCTTGGTTTCTGTGATTTCTTCCCTTCATGGTAGCCTTGACAGCATTCTCTCTTTCTTCTCTAACTTCTCTTCCTTTTTGTGCTATCTCATGAATGTCTCTTCTCTCCATCTTCCCAAGATTCTGATTGTCTTCTCACCATACTCTTATTTCTCTATGGGAAACCCAGTTGCATAGTGGATTCAACTGCCACCCACAAGCCAGTAACTCATGAAAGTCATGTGAATAAAACCAGCTTTGATTTAAGAATTGGTGAATGGTGCTGTCAGAATCAGACACCAGTGTCTCCTATCTACTTGGTAAACAAGCCCTAGTCATGCCACTTCTTTGGTAGCTCCCACCTTCTCCCTGTCTGCCTTACAATACCTTCAACATTGATCGCTAGGGCTGTAAGAAGATCTTATTTATCTCCTATTGCTACTTCACACAGCCACAGAATGATCTTCCCAAAGAGCAAAACCGATCACAATCACACTACCAGCCAGCTGAAAAGTTTCAATAGTCCATTCCCTTTAGCATGGCATGGAACCCAACCCAACCCAATGCACTGCCATCAAGTCAATTCTGACTCATAGCTACCCTACAGGACAGAGCAGAACTGCCCCCTGTGGTTTCCAAGGCAGACTCGGTTTATAGAAGCAGACTGCCTCACGATTCTCAAACCAACAACCTTTCTGTTATCAGCCCAGTGCTTAACCACTCACCACTAGTACTCCTTGATGGCATGGAAGGCCCTTTATGATTCCAAAAACTAGCCCTCGCTGACTCACTCAATTCAATCACACATGTACTGTGCTCTGGCCTTGAATGGGCTACAGGTGTGTCAAGGCATTGACGCCCTTAACTTTCAGGCAGCTGTGCAGGCCCAAGGGTCCTCCCCTGCCACCTCTGGTCATGGGCCTCAGACAGGTGACCTCAGTATGTTGCTATCTGTGTTCACATACTCTGTGCATGCCAGCACATGGGGTGCCAGGGAAGCCACATGAATTCTCAAACCTACACCTCTGTTTGTGCACCTTCTGGATGTTGGCCAGAGCTGTTCCTTCAGTCTAGAATGTTGGTATCCCCACTTTCTCTGTGAAGTCTTTCTAGAACATCTTCTTTCAGCCATAAGACTAGACCTCTCTCCTTTATCCCCTTGCTAACCCACCCAGCCCACTTCTGATGTACCTACAAGACTTCTTGGAATTTATTCACTGACACCCAATCACTACACTAGACTGTGAAGTCCATGAAGGGCAAGAACTGTGTCTGATTCTACTGGGTGCCCTAAGCACATAGGCCAGGGCTGTATACAAAGTTGGTATTTACTGGATGGATGTTGTTGACTATGAAAACAGTGAACGTCTTCCTAGGATATGTGTGTGTGTGTGTGTGTGTGTGTGTGTATGGAAAATCTTTTCAAAATTCCAAGGTGTATGTATGCAAGTCTGAACATTCTATGAGGATAAGGATTATATCTGTCTTGTGCACATGGGCAAGTTGCTGGAGCCGTCCAAGATTAGGTATCTTTAACTGCAAAATGGGGAAATAACACCTAATCTCTAGTGTCATTAGGAGGCACAGATAAGCTGATAAATGCCAAGGGTTAAGGCACAGACGCCCACACACTGAGCACCGTGAAAGGGCCAGTGTGCAGACAGGCACATGGAATATATCATGAGTTTGAAGGATGAACATAAATAAATTTCACTCCTAAAAATAGTAGCCAGTTTATTTTTAAAGGCTATTACTTGTTTCCTAGGGTTACAATTATCTCACTAATTATTAGAAAATGCAATACAGAATTGGCCAACGGCAAGGGCTTCCCAACAGCAGAAGCTATTTAGAGTACCAGAGCGATTTACGCAAGTTTGAATTCTAACCATATCAACAAAACAATCAGCCTAAATATTTTACATGATCATTTCAAAGTTATTTCAAAAGCTATTTTAGCAACTAACTTCATCAACCTTTGGCCAGGGCCATAATTAATTAAGGAATAAAATAAATAAATTGAGACATATTAATCGAGGAATTAAATAAATGAGACATGGGGGAACCTGCGCATGAAGAATTCATTGTTTTTGCAAAGCAACAATGAAATACTTTCTTTTCTTTTTCTTTTTCTTTTTCTTTATTTCTCTCTTTGGGTGGCAGAGCCACAAAAAGTTGTTTTATTATTTTTTATATTTTATTATTTTTACTATTGCACAGAACCCTAGTTAAATTTTCTCTTGTTGAATCATTCTCTGATTTATTCATGATTTTATTAGTATCTCTTTTACTTTAGATTTTTTACTCTCCTACATTTTATTATATTTTTATTAAAAGTTAGAAGCCACACATTAGCTACATTTTATTCTACTTGTAATCTTAGGTAGTTTTAATATTTATATTAACAATATTCTTAAGACTGCTAGGAGACAGGATTTGTCAATTGAATTACTACCAGCTTAGGTTTAGTGATTGTAAACATTCTTCCTTGTAGCCTTAGTTTAAGGCAATAAAGAATTCCTCAGCCATAAATAAGGACTGTGGGTACAAGAATTTCTAAAAACAATTAGACTATAGATAAAGGCTATGGGTATATACAGATACTAAATAAAAAGTCTGACTTAGATGTTCTTAAATTAATGATCAGTAAATTAGAGAAGTTGTTTTTCATAGTCTCAGTTTCCCTGATAAGTGATGTTTTTGTAGGCTATAAACAGATAGTGTATGGTAGAAGTTAATGGAGAGTTAATTGCACCTAACAACTAAAATTAACAAGATTTAACAGACAAAGGTTAAGAAACATGTAAAGGCTAAGTTGCTTCTCAGAGAAAAGAATAGATTTATGTAGGAACAAATGTTTAACTAAAAGGTTTCAAGGCACCTGAATGTCTCCTATGCCTTGAGATAATGTTTTTGTTGTAACTTCCCATCCCTGTTGTAAATTGAAGAATTGTAAACCATAATGAATGTTGCCCAAGATAGATTGTACCTTGATGTCATTGATTACTATGAAAGCAATGTTTTCTGTAATGGTATATAAGGGGGTTGTAAGATAGAACAAAGACAAAAGAAGAAGGGAAGAAGGAAGAAGGGAAGATGGGAAGTAGAGAATGGGTGGAAGAAGAAGCAGAGGCAAGAAGTAGAGGTAAGAGTAAGTAGAGGAAAATAGAACGAGACAAGAATGGAGGGCGGGGAAGTGAGTAAAGAAACAGAAGAGATGAGCAGGAGGGGAGCAGGAGGGGAGAGAAGGAAAACAGGAGCAGGGGAGGGGAGAAAGGAAGCAGAAGAGATGAGCAGGAGAGCATGGGAGTAAAGAATGAGCAGAACAGTAAAGAATGAGAGAAGTAGAGTATTAGAGTAGCTATAGAAATAATAATAATAAAGCATGTAATAAAAAGATTTTGAATTTATCATGACCCATGACTTTGTGTAATTCCTTAATCGCCGACGCCGCACCCGCCTTCGGAAAAAAACCTGAAATAAATATGCCGGGGCAGGCTCTCGGCAAACCTTCATTGAGCTTGTCCTTTAATGACAAGCCAATGAAGAGGTAGGAAGTAGGATGACATAATTGTAGTCATGTGCTTATCACACTTCATGTCTTCTCAACCAGGGCAGGACCCAGGGCTTTGACAGTATCTGCAAGATGTGACAACTAAAGTCATTCTTAAATTATATCAATAAGACCACATACATAAATGAAACATATATAAATGAAAGCATTAAGTAAATCAGAAAACTGATTGTAAGGGTAGATCCACTCCCTTTATAAATAGAATTCTAAAAGAAAGAAGAGTAACAAAAAATGTATAGAATGTTAAATATACTCACTATTTCTGCTGTATGACCCCGGAAGGTATGATAACATTTTCCTGTCTCTACACTCCATAGTTTGCATGTCTTATCAAAGGAACCAGTGGCAATTTTATCACTAAAAATTAAAAAAAAAAGATGGTTTTTAAATACAATAAGATATCATATGGATACACTCAATTAAAACAAGAAATACTAAGAAAGGAATCTACCCAGAATGTTCTTTAGAAGCAAGGAAAATGAGACTTCATCTCTCATGCTTTGGACATGTTATCAAGAAAGACCAGTTGCTGGAGAAGGACATCATGGTTGGTAAAATGAGGGTCAACAAAAAAGAGGAAGACCCTCAATGAGATGGACTGACACAGTGGCTACAACAATGAGTTCAAACATGATTATGATGATGTTATGATTATGGTGCGGAACCGGGCAGAGATTCTTTCTGTTGCATCTCGGGTCATTATGAGTCAAAACCAATTCAATAGCCTCTAACAGCAACAGCATTTCAACACCATTTAGAACTGTGCTTTGTTTTAGAGCAATAAGCCTTTGTTTCAGTGGACAATAAAATAAATGTCCCGCTTTTTAATGCTATTGTTTTTATCTTATAGATTATCATTTTAAAGACTTTGAAGCCAGTGTGAGCTCTTTGTGAAGGAAATAGGTTTTCGAGATGTTGGTCCCTTTCAAACAAGAGGCTTCATGAGTCTTCTGGGCAGCAAGTCAACATCCAGCAATGGGAAAGGGAACATTGGCATGCTTACCTTTATCTTGAGACTAAGTTTTTGTCCTTTCCCCAGGCACCCCTGTCTCTTTTGTATAGCAAGTCCTTAAAATGGTTCAGTAATTACAGTGCAAGTTCATTGTTCATAGTGTCATGAGTCTTGGGACACAGTGGCTCTACCTTTAAGGCAAATTCTAAAAGTTCAGCCCAGCTGCAGAGTTGCTACCTCTCTCCAGCCTGATGCTGAGGTCTTGCTTCTCTTCTTGGTTCTGAGCATCTTTTTCCCAGGCCACCCACATAGTATGTCAGTGGTCTCTCATCCTAATGGAAAGGAGGTTCCTTCCTGTTGATGCTCCAAGGATAGATTATCTGGGGAACACACACCCATACGTCTTCTCACACTCAGGCCGATCCCCACGCCCAGTCTCTGAGCCAGCCCACTCCTGGGCTCCTGATGTCTTCCGACATCTGGCCAAGGTGAGCTCAGGGCCCTGTGAGTTTCAGTCCCTTGTTCCATCTTTCCATCATCCTATCCCACAGATAGATCAGGTGCTAGCTATGTTGCCGCTTGATCAGTCCCTGCCCTGCCCTATAACCATTCTCTACATCCATACAGCACTGTGTTATAAAAAATATCACTGACTTCAGTGTTTTCAGAAGTACTTTATTGTTGAATCAAAAGCTTACTCCTAATCGAATATAAGGAGTCCTGGTGTGGTGCTGTGGGTTAATGCGTTGGACTTCAAAGTCTGTTTGAACCACAAGGTCGGTGTGGTTGAAGCTCACCAGCTGCTCCTTGGAAACCCTATATAGGGTCACTATGGGTTGGAACAGACTTAACCTGATATAAAAACAACAACAACCTAATATAGGAGGGTAAGTCAAAAACTATTGCTTCAAAGTCATAGAAACCTTTGTTGTTACTTATTGTTGTTGTTAGATGCTGTCAAGTTGTTTCTGACCCACAGCAACCCTACGAACAACAGAACAAAACACCGCCAGGTCCTGCGCCACCCTCACAATTGCTGCTATACTTGAGCCCATTGCTGCCGCCATTGTGTAAGAAACCTTTATGCAACAAAAAAATATCAAAAGTTGAAACAATTGTTTCATGACATGTCCTGCATCTAGGTCTATACACTTCTGAAGGTCATGTTTCAATGTTTTTGACCCTTCCCCCAAAAAGTCTGCACTTTTCAATCTATAGCACATCAAAATGGCATTTTGACATTCCCAAAGGACCCAAATCATGTTGCTTTTAAATGCTTTTTGAGTTTAGAGAATAAAAATAAGTCTGAAGGGGCAACATTAAGTCTGCAGGGTGGATTGGGCAAGGTTTCCCAATTAATTCTCACAGAACCACGCTTTCTACCTGCAGTGTAGTTCTGTTGTCCTTGTTAAGTGCCATCCAGTCAGGTCCTACTCATAACAACCCTGTATAGGGTTTCTGAAGAATGGCTGGAGAGCCTGAACTGCCGGCCTTGCAGTTCAAACTGACCTCTAGCTAAAGACTTTATCAATTTCCCCCAAACATTTTGCCCTGCTAGAGCTGCATAAATGGAAGGTGGGAGACAATGCTGACAGAGGACGTGAGTCAATTGTGAATGGTTAACAGATTTAATTGTGATTGTAAAAACATGGAACTCTACTGTGGGTTTAACATGAGCTGTCTCAGAAGTAGGAGGGCAGGTCTCACTGCCATCAAAGGAGAACCATGAGTGGACAGTGTCATTCAGACTCTGAGATCCGTGTGCACTGAACCCTCCTCCACCTGGGAGCAGAAAGCTGTGACACCAGAGGAGAGGCAGACCATGATGCAGAGCAGAGGTCTTCCCAGTCTGTGGAGCAAGTGGAGCTGAGTGACCGTGGGCAGGTGGTTTGTTTGCACATGTGGAGTGCCTCCAGGCACTAAAAGGGGAGAGCTATGTTTGCTGACCTGTGAAGTTAGACTTGAGTGCCTTCAAGCTGAGGCTTATGGTGGTGTGTCCTGTGAACGTTCATCAGCAGCCCTGCAAGAGCTTTGCAATATTGCCTGGGCCAAGAGAGACCTGCCTGTGGGCATGGCTGAGAAGAAGCTGTCCTAACTGAAAGAATTGCACCCTGGGCATTTTCTGACCCTGTATTGTAAGCTGTTAACTTCCCTAATAAGCCCCATAACTGGAGGATGGTGTCTGAGTTCTGTGTGACCAATGCCATGAATTATGGAAGTAGAAAGAGCTTTGGGAGGAATGACTGGCAACTTTTTTTTGCTGTACTCCCCTTAAAGAATGGAGTCCTGGTGTGGTGTTGTGGGTTAAGGTGCTGGACTGCAGAGTAGGTTTGAACCACAAGGTCAGCAGTTCAAGCTCACCAATTGTTCCTCGGAAACCCTATGCAGGGTCACTATGGATCAGAACCAACTCTATAGCACTTAACAACAACCCTTAAATACTGGAGTCCTGATATGCTGCTACAGGACAAGCACTGGGCTGCTAACTTCACAGTCAGCAGTTCAAATCCTCCAGTCACTCCTTGGAAACCCTGCACTGAATTGCTATGAGTCAGAATCAATTCAAAGGTATTTAACAACAACAACAACCCTTACACAATGAACAGGTGCACTGCCATAATAGAAACAAAATTCCTCAGTGCAATATTCCTGGACTTTTTCTCACCAATGCACTTTACAATTTTCTTAAAACCCTTTTCCTAATAAACCCCTGTATCCTTCAAGAAAATGTATCAAGATGACACTTTTGGAACCCTCAAAAAAATCATGACTGTTAAATAGACTATTCATGAATGTGGTATTATATAAAGAACATTGCAATGAACGAAGAAATTATACTAAAAGTAAAACAGTGCCATTTATAGTGTCAATAAAATCTTCCTCTTTTACAATTTCGTATAATAAGGTATAAAATTATTTCTCAATAACCTGTAACACAGATCATAGTTAAATGTTCTGTAATTTAACTATTATTGAATCCTTGTTTTAATGTACCAATTAAGTTCGTGCCATCCTAACGAATATAGTTTGAAAGTGTTGTTGTTGTTGTTGT